CAATGGGGGCCCTGCAGCAGACATGGCCTTGCCCCCGGGGCTCTCACAGCTCCTGCCTGTGCCGCTGGAGCTCCAGGCAGCTGTCAGGTGTGCGCTGGCTCGTGTAACTCACTGAGCCTTGTGAGTGAGGAACAGGCATCCACTCTGTGTGATGAGGCTCCTGCTGAGGATGGGCTCACCCCAGATTAGAGACCTCCTCAGTGTAGTTATGATATTTTCTGAAAAATCCCTTTGATAGGAAAAAAATTCTTCTCTCATTTGCTTCTCCTGTGCTGTGCTCACATGTGGAATATGTTTGGAGATTGTTTACCCACAGGTGATTATTCCATTGCATTCTGCTGGGAGTTGTTTTCACTCTTTGGCCAATCAGGGCCAAGCTGTGTCAGGACTCTGCAGAGAGTCACCAGTGTTCATTATTATCTTTTTAGCATTCAGTAAGTATCCTTTCTGTATTCTTTAGTACAGTATTCTTTAATATAATATAGTATCATAAAGTAATAAATGAGCCTTCTGAGAACATGGAGTCAGATTCATCATTCCTGCCTTTTTCAGGGCAGGAATACAATAAATACAAATTTAAAATTGTAATACAATAAATACTGTAAATAAATTACATAAATTGTAATAAATACTGTAAATACAATACCTCAGGTGCTGCCCCTGCAGCCATGAGACCCCGCAAGGAACCTGTTAGCCTGGAGAAAACTTTGCTCTAAAATCCAGAGAATTCACCACTGTTAGGGAGCTGCAGGTTCCCATCTCACTCAGTGTGTGCTGTGTGGTGCTCAGAGAGTGCTCACCCCCTTTCCTGGCCAGCTGGGATCCTGGGGATGGTTCCCTGATGCTGCCCAGCCCAAGGCAGCCCCTGCTCCTCAGCTTGGGGCAGGAGGAGCTCGCTGTGCTCACAGGAGCATCCTACAAGGAGCTGCTCCTGATTCCCAGGGAAGGAACCAGGGAGCACCAGCCCTAGAAAAGCCTCTGCCCAGCTGCAAGCCAGACCCCTGGGGGGTTTTCCTACTTTGCTTCAGTTTCTCAGGGGGATGCCAGGGCCTCAGGACACAGAGCTGGTGGTAGGTGGTGCAGGAGGAGCAGCGGTGCCTCTGCCTACACAGCCACTGGGGCTGCTCCAGAGCTGGCCTGGGGACAAGAATAGAACAGTTCTGTCTCCTTTTCTGGCCTTTTTTCATTCCTAATCTTTCTTCAGACCTGCAGATTTTTTCATCAGCCAGGACAGTAAATCAAGGCAACCCCAACAAAGGGAGGAATGATGAGGTCGACTTTATTGCTATCAGAAGGCTAATTAATTATTATTTTAATATATATAGGCTAATTAATTAATTATTTTATTATACTGTATTATTCCATATTCTATTGCACTGAATCTGCACAAGCACTCAACTCCACTCAACTGCCCAGAATGTCCTGTCAGTGACAGTCCCAACACACACACACATGTGGATTCAATTGGTCAGTGAATCAAAACACTCACAACAGAATCCAATTATCAATTCCCTTCAGGTAAACAATCTTCCACAATGCATTCCACTTGTGAACAACAAGAGGAGCAGTAAATGAGATAAGAATTGTTCTTATTGTTCTCTGAGGTTTCTCTCTGTGATTCCCAGAAATATTCTTGGGAAGTTGTGCCTTGCTGTTCTCTGTGAAGAGAAATGCAGCCATAAGCCAGGATGATAAAGGACAGCTTCCACATTGACAATTTTCTCTTGTTGCCTCCATTAGGATGTGCTGGACAAAACCTTGTATGTTTTGCTCTGGGAAAACATTGCCAGGTTCAGAAGTGATGCTGCTCCTCACTGGAGTCAGCCCCACTAACCCCTGGTGAATCAGATCCCAGCAGGGCTGAGCAGCCCCAGTTCTCTCCTGGGGCATGGTTGGGAATCTGTGCTGAGACCCTGAACTGGAGCAGCTCTCCAGCTGTGCCCTGTGCCAGAAGCAGTTCCAGATTAATTAATGCATTAATGATTAATTACAGTGAGTGTGCATGCCGAGGAGCTGTGGGAAGGGCTGTGCTGAGGGCTGCTTACAAAGCTCAGGGCAGGAGCTGCTCCTTGATGCAGGTGCTGGAGTACTGGAGATGCACAAAGTGCTTCCTTACAGACTGGGTTTGTTCCTAATGTTCTTTCCTTTAAATGGACTGAAAAATTAAACAGTTGCCATCACAAGGATGCAGCAAAGTCCTTTCTGCTTTGCCTGTGTGTTCTCTAAAGGTGCTTGCTCTGAGTGCTGGGCTCACCCAGCCAAGAACTCTGTGCATTAAGGGCAAGAAATGGGTTTAATCATTGGTAAAGGGGATTTCACAGAGCAGCCTGTGCAGTCCCAACAGCTGGGGCTTCTCCCTGAGCTCCTGGGGGTGTTTTTCCTTGGTGCTGGGTGCTGCCTGGCTCACTGCTCAGCTGCCCTTCTCTCCTGTTGTGTTTTGTCTTGCAGATTTTCCGGCGAGCCGACAAGAACGGTGAGTGCTTTGTTGCTGCTGCTGCCTCCCCCTCCCTGCCTGCCTCCTTCCCACTGGGAGCTTTGGCTGTGGGAGGGAGGGTGGAAAATGCTTTTCTGCTTCACCTGGATCCCTGCCCAGGGGCTGGGAATGGGCTCAGGACACAGGACACAAGCCCTTCTCCTGCCCAGAGGCTGTCAGGATTCTGCTTGGTCCCTCACAGGATTGGTTCTGTCTCTGTGCTCAGTCCAGGGTTTTACAGAGCAGAAGGGACCCTCAGACAGAGTTGTTTTGCAGGAATTTTCAATGTAGGGAACATGGGGTTTGGGGTGTGCAGGATTTGGTGTCATATGAGGGCTGTGCTGGTGCCCTGCTGTCCCCATGGTGGCTTGGACAGCCCTTCTCCCCTGGCCTTGTCCCTTGCACTGTCAGGAACNCAAACTACAGCCCCAAACCACATCTTACAACCCAGGACAATAGGGAAGGACTTTTCCTTTCAGTCCAAGTGGGAGAATGATTCTGGAAAGGGAAGTGAATTCCCCCCTTTGCAGCTCTGGGCTGAGTGTGGGAAGCAGGAGCAGGGGAGGCAGGGATGGAGGTGCTCAGGAGCCTGACCATGGTGTTCTGTCCTGCTGCAGATTATTTCTCAGCATACCTGGGGGAATACAGGAACGTTCTCTCTGCCCTGGAAACGCTCAACGCTGCAGTGCTGGCAGCCATGGACAAAACCAAGCTGGTAAGGATGGCACAGGGGAGGGCAGCAGCGTGGGAAACTGGAACTGTGGTGAGCTCAGCTGCTTCTTAGGAATTTGGGGGTTGGAGGCAGCAAACCCCTCAAATCAGGGGTGTCTGTGTGTTATTGGCTTGCATGTGCAGGCACACAGCCTGGAGGAGAGCAAGGGCAGCAGTCTGGTATCAGTGGATGGTGTTTGCTGCTACCTTTCCTGAAAACACCTTCTGAGAAAGGTGCTCAGGCAAGTACAGACTCAATCCACACTCTCAGCACAGCTGGGTCAGCAAAAAGAGGTGGAAAGGGTCTCTGTGTACAGTTCCAGTGAGGTTTGTTGTAAAGTCACACTGAAGGAACCCAGGGACAAGGACAGGGCAAACAGTGAGTGTCCTTTTTTAAGTAGGGGGTCTGGAACAATGGTTTGGGGGCACAGGGACAGTACAAAGGGCAGTGACCTATGAGGTAAGGGCAGATTAACGTTGCTGCAGGACACCATGGAAGAAGCCCCTTTCAGCTCACCCTAAGGTGAGAGGCACTCTCAAAGCCTGGGGTGAATTCTTCCAGGGCAACATCCCAGAAGTTTCCCCAATAGGCTCAAAGGTGTTCACAGGGATGGGTAAATCCAAAACTTTTGTGCTGTGGAGACCTTATCTGTGTTCTGGGGACATCATCAATGCTCTGGGGACATCATCTATGCTCTGGGGACATCACCTCCCCTTGCAGGGCTCTGGCAGTGCCTGTTCCAGCAGCTCCCTGCAGTGTCCTGCTCACAGACACTCTCAGGGAGCATCACTGGGAGCCTGTGTTGAGTTCTGAGCCAGAACAAAGTGTTTCCCCCAGCAGTGAGGCTCCAAACTGCCCTGCAGGGCTGGTGGTGCTCAGGATGGAGCCCAGCTTGCAGAACTGAGTGCTGGCTGCAGAAGAGGGGCAGGAGCAGAGCTGCAATTCCTGCTCTCCCAGCCTGGTGCAGGGCTCATTCCTGCCCCAGTGCTCACCCTGTGCTGGTGGGAGCAGTTTGGAGGCGCTGATTAGGGCAGGCTCTGAGCCCCAGCTGTGCTGAGCAGCCTCAGGGTGAGGACAATGGGGAAAGGCAGCACTGGAGGGCCCTGCCCAGGGACCAGCAGCTCCTTCTGCACCTGAGCTGTGTCAGAGGGCTCAGCTGTGTGCTTGGGCAGCTGCTGAGCATGGGAAGACCCTTCCTTTGATGCAGGTAAGGGGCATCATCTGTGTGAGTGCTCCTCTGAGCTCTTGGTCAGACAGAGAAAAAAAGGGGGACCAGTCCCACACTCAGCAGGTTTGTGCATCTGTAGTGTCAGATCCTCTCCGGGCTTTTCTCTGGCCAAACCCAGCCTGAGTTTGTCCTGTGTGCCTGCAGATACTGCAGTGTCTGATTGAACCCTTTTCTGACCCAGAGATGAGGCAACTGAGAGGTGTTTTCAAACCTGCGTGTGGAAATCTCATGCCAAGAGAGGGAATCTCCTGAAAATGCATTTTCTCACTGGTTCAGATCCCCAGCCCCACTCACAGCTATTAAATACAAGTCCAGAGGAGGAATCCACTCTAGAGAGCTGTGCTTTATTTCAGTTCCTCTCTGTTCTGTTTTTTTGGGTGTTGAATGCGTACACTCCTGTGTTTCTGCAAAGGGCAGCACACTCTCTGCTCCCCAGTATTGCTGTGAGGCATTCACTCCCTCCAAAGCTCCTGTGCCACTGCTGTTCCCTGGGAAACAGAGGCAGGTTTTTCCTGTTGAAGCAAATTTTGCTGGACCTGTTTTTCCACGTGTTTGGATGTGCCTGGAGCTGGGCCAGTGCAGAGTTCCCAGCACTGCTCCCACCCAGCAGGGGTCTGTGCTGGTCAGGGGCTCTGACCCAGCCCTGCTGTGCCCAGTGCAGGAATTGGTGCTCCTGGGGTCCCTTCCCTGCACTCCTGCTCTGCTGGGCTCTGCTCTGGGCAGGAGCTGTGGGAGGGATGCCTGGAGGCTGCAGAGATGATGAATGCTGCATTCCTACCTGCTGGCACATGAGTGTGCTCCCACATTGGTATTTCCAGAGCTGGGCTCCAGCTTGAGTTGTGATGGGATGAGTGGGCTGGATTTTAGCCAGAGCTCACAGCTCTGTGAGCCAGGGCACAGAATTTTACACCTGCCCCTCAGAATTTTACACCACATGACACCTGCCCCTCAATTCTTCTGGTTCAAACTCTGCTCTGAGCCCCCTTTGGCCAGAGAGAGCAGCCTTGTGGAAGAACCAGATGAGCTTTCACCCCAGGGAGCTGCTTGTGCACTGAGGAAACTGGGATGTTGGAACTCTGGTCACTGAGNCCTCCATATTTCCTTTATATTATTTTCTAGTAGGGTCAGCTAAACAAGCTACTGGGCCCATACCCCAAAAATCTCCTGCCCCTGCTAATGAACCCCCAAGCAAATCTAATCTTCAGCACCCATAAACCAAGAGGTCCAAAATCACAAGGGATATCCCTGAGCCTTCCCACACTCTCTTGGCTCTTTTCCTTCATGGTAGCTCAGGAGATGCTTTTATTGCAGATCACAATGCAGCCCAGGAGCTGAAATCTTCCACAGAGAGGAAGGAAAAAGCTCTTGAGTCCATGGAGAGCACTTTCTTTCCATGGAAATCTGATACTGCCCGCAGTGTGCTGTTCTTGGACAGTCTGTGTGCCTTTCTGAGAACACCACTCCTTTAGGGAAGGGCTGAAATTCCCACCTGCACTTCCAGCAGCACCCCGTGTTTCTGCTGGGCTCGTGGGTCAGGCTCTCAAGGAGATTTTTGCTGTAATTATCATGCAGAACATGCCCAGCCCTATCCCACACAGGGCTGGGATGCTGCTTTCCACAGATATATAATTATTCTTCCCTTTCCTTTGAATGCAGATGATGGGAAGCTGTCATTTGAGGAGTTCAAGAACTATTTCTCCGATGGCATCCTGAGCTCGGAGGAGCTGTGGGAGTTGTTCAGTGGCATTGACAGGCGTCACTCAGAGTGAGTACCGTGGTGGTGGCACTGAGGAGATGCAGGAGAAGCTAAAACTGCCTGCCTGGAGGTGGAGGAGCTTGGGAGGCGGGTGTGATAAATAATCAGGGTGAGACAAACCCACCTCTTGCCACAGAGCCACTGAAAACCAGTGCTGAGAGCAGCCAGACATTTTGAGAGCAGCCATGGATGTCCTGCAGCTCTAGAAGGCAAGCAAGCATTGAAAATGCCATTCCTGTGGTTTGGAGAATGTGCTCCAGGAATAGGCAGCCTTGTGTGCCTGCAGGAGCCTGAGCTGCTGTGGGGACACACAAAGTCACAGACTCTGCCACTGCTGACTCAGGAGCTGCTTGGCACTTACATAAGAGCTGCTTTCCACCACAAGTGGGCTTGGTGCATGTAACAGGGAATTTAGGGCAGCTACTTGTCAAAAAAAGCCCCACAGATCAGGAGAAGGAATTGTGTTTAGCTCTGGTCTCCTAACAGTGAATTTAGGGCAGCTACTTGTGAAAAAAAGAAAGCCCCACAGATCAGGAGAAGGAATTGAGCTTAGCTCTGGTCTCCTCGTGAGTGGTACTATCCAGAGGGCTCTGTTGGGCTCAGCTGGGATTCTCAGCCCAGTTTTTTGGGTATTTTGGCCTCACTGGGGTCTCTATGCCCAGCTGGGTGCTGTGGGTGGGTCTGTCCTGGCACTGGGAGGAACTGGGTGCTGCTGGGTTGCATGGCTGGGGTCTGTCCACACACTGGGTGCTGCTGGGGGACAAGGGGCTGGGGATTCCTCTCAGTCTGAGGGGCAGCTTTGGCATCCCAGCACCTCTGACACCTGACCAGGGCACAGGTCCTGCCAGGGTGAGGAAATTTGGGGCAGCCTGAGCTGCACACGCTGTCCCAGGGCTTTGCAGAGAGCCAGGGTGGTGGCACAGAGGGCCCTTGTCACACTGAGATGCCAACAGCCACCAAATGCCACCAACAGCAGACACCCAGTGTCACAATGGTGAACTCCCAGTGCTGGTGGGGCTGGGTTTGGCTCCCACTGCAGGGCTGGGCAGAGTGAGCGGCCTTGTGCTGCTTTCCTTGGAGCTTCTGGTTGGGCTTGTGGATGAGGGCAGCAGGAAAACATCTCTGAAAACCCCTCTGTCTCTGGGCTGTAATCCCAGGAAGCTGCAGTGAGTGTTCCCTTTCCTCTGGAAATGCTCCTTTCCTCTTGCTCCATTTTGGGGTGATCTCAGAGTCACAGCACCCCTGGAAAACACAGGGTGCAGCAAAAGCTGTGTCAAGGGAAATACAGGCTGGATATTAGGAAATGTTTTTCACAGAAAGGGTGATAAAGTTCTGGAATGGCTGCCCAGGGAGGTGGTGGAGTCCCCATCCCTGGGTGTGTTTAACAAAGCCTGGATGTGGCACTGGGTGCCAGGGTTTAGCTGGGGCTGTGTTGGAGTTGATGATCTTGAAGGTCTCTTCCAACCTGGTCATTCTGTGATTCTGTGAAGCTGGGAGCTTTAACCCAGCTCAAAACTGAGCAGGGAAGGTCTCCTGCCTTCAGGTGGGGTTTGTTCCATGCATCTGGAGCAGCTGACGAGGCCTGGCTGGGCTGGGCTGCCCACAGCCGTGGCTGTAGCAGTGATAGCACTGAGCTGGTGGCACCTGTTAGCAGGGTGTGAGCCTTGGGTCCTTGTTCTTTTCCTGCCACCAAGAGCAGATGGGACCCTCAGACAGAGCTGTTCGCAAATTCCTGCAAATGTAGGGAACATGGGGTTTGGGGAGTTCAGGATTTGGTGTGTATGAGGGCTGTGCTGGTGCCCTGCTGTCCCCATGGTGGCTTGGACAGCCCTTCTCCCCTGGCCTTGTCCCTTGCACTGTCAGGAACTTAATATTTCAGAGAGCTGGGCAAAATTTGCTGCCAGACTGAAGGGAATTACAGAGCTGGGAAGCAGCTCCAAGCTCTGCAAGCAGATCTGGTATGGTGCTTTTGTGTCCTGAAGCTTTAGTGATGATGGGAAAGTTTCACCCTCCATCCAGCAGGTGGGTTTGGTGCTGTGTTTGTCATGTCCAGGCTGGAATTGGTGTTTCCTTCATCCCTGCCAGGCTGACCTGAGGAGGGGCAGTAGCAGAGATCTCCATGCCCAGACCCCTCCTGACCCTCACCCACCTCTGGAACCTGCAGCTGCAGAGAACAGGAATATTTCAGAGCTCTCTCACATTTCTTGTTGTCCTTCCAGAGAGCCCCATGCTGTCCTCTGTCCACCTCCCACCCCTCAGGCTCTCAGGTGGGACACTGGGGCCTGTGCATCACACACCTCTGCTGGGGTCACTTCACATTCTGCATCTCCACACCAGGCTGGTTTTGTTCTGCATTTCAGAAAATGGTTCCATTTTGGCATAAAGCATCCCCTCTCTTTAATTCTGTGGCATTTGAAAGTTTATGTTGAAGCCAAATTCAAAAGCTAGTACAGCAGCACGTCCATGGCTTTGTGTGGCTGGTCCAGAGCTCCTCACCAGCTCTGGCAGTGGCACAGTGTGGTTCATCTTCCTGGAGAAGGGCACTTTCATCCTCTGAAACATTTGGGTGAGGAGAGACTGATATTTTTGGAGGTTTGAGAGCTCCATAGCTGCATCCAGAATTGCAGGGGTTCAATGCCTGCCCTGTGAAACCTGCCCAGGGATGTGATGTTTGGATTTTACCTGTCCTTCTGTCCTGCACCTGTTGGGGAAATTTAGAAAAATAAGGTTTGGAAAATGCATTTTTGCATGAGGTTGTTCAGGAATTGGGTGCAGATTGCTCAGAGCCTTTGACCTGGAGCCACAAGGGATGGAAGTGCTGACCTGGTGCCTCTGAAAATCTCTTGGTGGGAATAACCTCAAGCCTGTGATTGTGTGAAGAAGAGATTTGAGTGAATTCCCTCTCCTCTCTTTACTCAGAGACTCTGCAGCATCTGCCAGCCCCAGATGATGGAGAGTGACTGAAACACTGTGTCACACAAAAAAAGGGTTTGGAAAGCAGATCTGTGATGGCAGTGGAGGTTCCCAACATGATAAATGATAAAAATAAAAAAAAAAAAACCCGTCTGCTTTTCTGCAGCTGATTGCTGTTTTCTTGCATAAATTCCAGGCACATTCTGACAAAATCCCAACAGCATAATGATGACAAGCTCCTCCATCATCAGTTCAGGCTTAATTACAGTTAATCAGTGGTTTGAGCACAGTCAAAATACAGCTCTGGGAGATGTGGAGAGTCTCAGGATGAGTGCTTTGGAGGCAGAGGATGGCTCTTCTCCTGGAGTGGGAACGGCAGGGAGGAAAGCCTGCTGCCCTGGCAGCCCTGCAAAGTGGGTCGGCATTTGGTGTGCACATTCTGGGGGTGAGCTCCACCCCGGCTTTGGTGTGAATCCGTTCTGGCAGCATCAGAATAGCCCGAGGGTTTGCCTGCTGTGCTCTGTTCTGCCCCTGCCTGTGCCTGGGGGCTGCTGCAGCCTCGGGGACATGGCAGAGGTTCCCCTGCAGGGCTGCTGGTGGAACAGGCTGCAGATCCTCCCCTGGGCAGCTCCCAGAGGGAGGATTTTGTGCCATGAGATGTCGTTGGTTGGTTCAATGGTCAGTGGTTTAGTGATTGATTAGTTAACATTTCTTTTTAAGCAGCAAACAGCCAAGATATAAAGATATATATCTTTATATATATATATATATATAATTTATCTATCTATATAATTAATATATATATTTATATATAAAAAGATAGATAAAGATATATGTATTTATATAGATATATAATTTATATATATACATATAATTTATATTTATATATGTATATAAAAGATAGATAAATATATATAAAGATATATATCTTTATATATATACAATTTATATGTCTATATATCTATATAATTTATATCTATTTGTATATAAAAAGATACATAAAAATACGTATAAAGATATGTATTTTATATATAATTTATATATCAATATATATCTATATAATTTTTATATATATATTTGTATATAAAAAGATAGATAAAGATACATATAAAGATGTCTATTTTTATGTATAATTTATATATCTATATAATGTATATATATTTATATATAAAAAGATAGATAAATATATATTTATAAGAGTTATTAATAACCTTGGAAGCCACAGGGTGGGACTTGATGACAGCTCCTGTCACACCTTGCTGGAATGGCAGTGAGTTGGGCTGGTGGCTCCTTGTTCCTGCTGAAACCTGTCCCAGTCCCAGGTGCTCACTGGGACCAGTGCAAATGCCTGGATAATGTGCACACAAAGTGTCCACATGCCCTCTGTGGTGATTTTTACCCCTCTCTCAGGTGGGAGCCAGGTTTCCCTGCAGCTCTGGGGCTGTGCTGTGCATGCTGCAGTGCCAGGGCTCTTGCAGCACTGCAGCAGCTCTGCAGCCTCCAGGCAGCTGCCAGAAATAAAGGGGAAAACTTCACAAGGAGCAAACCCTTTTTCCATTGCACCCTGGTGCCCCAAACCCCAGTGACTGTGTCAGGCAGAGCTGCCCAGAGAGGGGATCAGCAGAGTTGGGCACAGTGAGGGGCTGTGGCTCTGCAGGTTTATCTGGATCGAGTCTCAAGGGAAACAGGATTTTTTTCTCCCCTTTACAAAGTGCCTGCAGTGCCAGGTCAGTGCACAGAGCCCTGCCTGAATCAGCTGCTGTGTGTTTAAAATAGCTGAGCTGAGTGTTCCTGCCCCTGTGTGCTGCTCAGAGCTCCAGGTGCAGTCCCAGAGCAGCCTGCAGCCCCCTGCCCTGGCTCTGCCACCCCTCACACCAAAATATTCCCTTGCTTTGAGCCACTGCCCACTGTTAAAGTGCTCTCAGTGGAGCTCAGGAGAAAGGGAGAGACAGAAACAGCCTTTGATGTCTCAGGAAAAGCTGTAGGAAGATTTTTGCCTTAATTATTTCACCTTAAATGGCATTTTGGACATTCACACACTGTTCTCTAATTTTACATGGGGATGTTTTTGTCCCTTTGCCCTGTGAGCAGTGTCAGGGGGGGACAGGGTGATGGTTTCCCACCCCTGGGCAGCAGCACTGCAGCATTCCCTGTGCTGGAAGCCTGGCAAACTCCAGGTATTGCCACTTCCCCCATGTGTGACAGCACTTCAACACTTAAAAACCACTTGAAAAGCTCTCTTTGGGGCTCTCTTCCACTTTCCCAATCAGCATTAAAATTGGTTGTAATCATCTGGGGGATTTTGAGGCAGCAGAAGGCCTGGAGCTGAGGCTGATTTGCATAAATGCCATGCTGGGCTCTGTCCCTGCAGGCTCTGGGCATGGAGAGCAGCTCTGCCTTTGTGCCTTTGGCCACCTGAGCAGCTCCTACAGCACCCTGCAGACCCATCCCAAAAACTGGGGCTTCTTTTGAGCATTTCCCTCCTCCCTCTGTATCACCAGCTGGGGTCTCTG